ATCAATTTTATGACATAAAACCATTCACGCTAAAACTTCATTTGACGAACAATTAAAACCTTAGGTAATACATTTTTATGCTATCTATGTTTCAACAATAGACAGATCTGTGACCTAGATACTCGATATGTACTCTGAATATCTGAGCTTCAGGGGAAGAAGCTCCAAAAAATTGTTCCTCTGGCTTAACCAAGCTGCTGCTTCACTGAATGTGGAACGTTGGCACGGCTTCGACAAAGTTTCGATTCTCGCGCGTGAAACTCTTATGGTAGATACGGCTTCGTTGAAGGGCGGAGCCGGTTTTAAAATGTTTTTTTAACCATTAGCTTCCAACGTGACTGAGTATGGTTTTACGCCGGTTGTAGCAATATTCCAGCAATATCACGGAACCTGAAATGGGCTTCACACATTGTACCCATGTGGGGAATCTAACCCGGATCTTCGGCATGACAAGCCAATGCTTTAATCACTAGGCTACCCCACCGTCTCTTGCTTTAAACGGCTTAAGGCCTGACATACAGAATTTCTTCAGACAATACATTTACTTGCAACCCACTGAATATATCTTTCACCATGTTATTATCTTTCTGTATTTAGTTGTAAGCCATTACATGCTATTACCCGTTGTGCCTCTCATACTGCCACGGATACATTGTGTCTTTTCTCTTACTGCTACAGTGATGTTGTGTTATGTCTCTGTACACAACGAACTGTTTTTCACGGTACATTGTTTTTCAAAAGTTTCTACTAAACATTAACCTACATATGATATTCCTTCCACAGCTAAACGCACCTGACATTGAACTTTATGTAACCCAAAGGATGTAATGTCACAGCAGTGGCTATATCATACAACAATGATGATCGATCGTGCCAAATGGTTTGTGAACAAACCTTTTCAAAATTTAAGATTTGTTATGCCAGTGTAAGCCATAGTAGTCGCAGTACTCGCGTCGTGAGGTCAATGTCACTCTCACTGTCACTGTGCATGCTTTAAGGAATTCAACCAATGTTCTTGTTCTTATTTCACACACTGTATATCTTTAGTTGCACCTCAGTCAATCAATTATCGGCACAGTTGATCCGAGCCACTCTTCTTGAATTTTCATGGATGCAAATTCCCATTATACTTGTTTGGTAGAGCTTGAAAGTGTAGATTTAGTATAGGGTTCGCTAGGGTTGGGCTCTAGTATACATCTCTAGTATAGATCCACAGATCTTTAGGTTGAAAACGATTGTATATATTCTCATAGAAAAATGTATCGCAAAGTACCACCCAACACCTATCCACATCACCCTATTGCCATTTATATTCATGTTACATTCATATTTGTTTGCATGATTTTTTTTACCCTTCGGGCGCACCATACATTGATTTCAGATATGCACGTGCTATGAACAAAGGCAAGCATCACGTGCGATACGTGTACCTGTCAATAAGCAAATATCAAGTTTCCGTAAAGTGTTCTGAAAGCTTGATAACATGGAGAATCAGTTGATTTCGTTGTTGACAGCTGCTCATAGTACTGGTATGCGGAATGCTGACATGTCATTGAGGGCTTTTACAAGAGATGTTGGTTGTCATCCATCGACTATCAGCCGACTGGCCCAAAACATCAGCAAACTAATGACGTTATGGGCCGTCAAACTAATGACGTTATGGGCCGTCAAACTAATGACGTTATGGGCCGTCAAACTAATGACGTTATGGGCCGTCAAACTAATGACGTTATGGACCGTGGACCGTCAAACTAAATGACGTTATGGACCGTCAAACTAAATGACGTTATGGACCGTCAAACTAATGACGTTATGGACCGTCAAACTAAATGACGTTATGGACCGTCAAACTAATGACGTTATGGACCGTCAGCTTTCAGCTCGACCATGAGACTGTAAACTTTACCTTGTGACGCAATTTGAATGGAGAACGGTACATCACTGACATTCTAGACAGAGTTGTTGTACAACATTACGGTGACCATCCTCTGAGCACAAAGTCAGTCTTCATGGACGGCAATGTAAGTCCCCAAGGTGCATGTGCCGTTAGTGATTTCTTATGTCAAGAGGCGGTAAACTCTACCTAGGCTCGCCTGGAATCCAGATCTCAATCCCATAGATCATATTTGGAACATTATGATACTTCAGTACAAAACCCTCATGTATTGGAGTGAACGAGTGAGTGAGTGAGTTTGGTTTTACGCCGCTTTTAGCAATATTCCAGCAACATCACGGTGGGGACACCTGAAATCGGCTTCACACATTGGGGGGAATCGAACCCGGGTCTTCGGCGTGACGAGCTAAAGCTTTAACAACTAGGCTAACCCACCGCCCCTTAATGTACTGGAACAACAGTAGAACTCAATATCTCAACGTCAAATATAACGTCAGATGAGAAGGGTCAGGGATGCTATTTCCACTGGCGGAGGTTAACGGGATATTGACGCTGTGCCCGGGTATTTATACTGGCGGAGGTTAACGGGATATTGACGCTGTACCCGGGTATTTCCACTGGCGGAGGTTAACGGGATATTGACGTTGTGCCCGGGTATTTATACTGACGGAGGTTAAGGGGATATTGACGTTGTGCCCGGCTATTTATATTGACGGAGGTTAACGGGATATTGACGCTGTGCCCGGGTATTTCCACTGGCGGAGGTTAACGGGATATTGACGTTGTGCCCGGGTATTTATACTGGCGGAGGTTAACGGGTTGTTGACGTTGTGCCCGGGTATTTCCACTGGCGGAGGTTAAGGGGATATTGACGTTGTGCCCGGGTATTTATACTGGCGGAGGTTAACGGGATATTGACGTTGTGCCCGGGTATTTATGCTGGCGGAGGTTAACGGGATATTGACGTTGTGCCCGGGTATTTATACTGGCGGAGGGTATCGGGATATTGACGTTGTGCCCGGGTATTTATACTGGCGGAGGTTAACGGGTTATTGACGTTGTGCCCGGGTATTTATACTAGTGGAGGTTAACGGGATGTTGACGTTGTGCCCGGGTATTTATACTGGTGGGGGTTAACGGAATATTGACGTTGTGCCCGGGTATTTATACTGGCGGAGGTTAACGGGATATTGACGTTGTGCCCGGGTATTTCCACTGGCGGGGGTTAAGGGGATATTGACGTTGTGCCCGGGTATTTATACTGGCGGAGGTTAACGGGATATTGACGTTGTGCCCGGGTATTTATACTGGCGGAGGTTAACGGGATATTGACGTTGTGCCCGGGTATTTATACTTGAGGCCAGTATGCAGGAATCCTGAAAATGACGGCACTCATTAACGTCATACGACTAAATTTATCAGCACTACAAAAAAAGTCAATTGTTTTGCCATGTATGGTTCTCTGAATATACAATTTTTTGTTCTGTTTGCGATTAGATTTGTCTTTTACTTATTACTTGAGGGTCAGTTTATCGAGATAACAAGCTAAAATGAAGTTTGGAAAAGTTATGTTTAATGGTAACACATTGATACTATGAAAACTATGGGACGTAGCGATACTTTGTTCCATGTGTGTATAAACTGTATTTTACACGGTGGCTGATTTGGGTCATCGTCATATATCTGAGTGTTAAACACAGTATTGATGTAGTCCCCGTGGTCATGTGCTGCCGCAGGCAAGGTCGTCGGTCGCTGTGGAGCACTGTCAGTGACCGTAACGCAAAATCAAAGGAATATAGGTCTGTCAATATAAAATGTCCTGTGGGACAATGACCGTGGATCTCAGCCCTCACCCCCAAGAAACTATTGGTCAATATCAGACAGCAATGAGGTCGTTTCGGACGACACGCTCCAATGGCTCGAACCACGTAATAAACATCACACGCATAAATATCAGGCCAGTTTCATCTTTCTTCAAATACATACAAAACTCTTTCCGAAGCCAAGCCATTCTGTGTATGTCCTAATTTAATTCAAAGTCGATTACCAAGTGACGTAAAATTTAATAATTCATAACAATATTTATTTAAGTATTTTTCGCCCGCCCACCCGCGCTCGTATTTGTCGATGAGGAACACATAAAATATGCGGATGGTCTATTGTCAATAATGTCACCCGTATAACATAACTTTAACAAATGAAGAATATGTTTATTAACAGACAAATGTAATTAAAAATGTGAATTTTTAAATTAATTAAATACTACACGTATACAAAGCCAAAGTTCAGTTTAAAAAGGACTGTCAGGATGTCTCGTGGCGGTGGCGGTGTACACGAAGTATATATGTTACAGCGTGTGTGAAACCAGGGATTTGTCATGGAATCGTTAAACCAAATATGGTGATAGCTACTGCGAATATTATCAACCAAATAGTAAACAGATCATCTCTATCAACGAATCCAGTCCTGCCCGAGACGTGCTGTCGTGTGTTCTATCTTTACTTATTGATTCCTAGAAAAAACGTAATCGACAACAATAAATAGTAGACGTATATGTTTTGTCAGTTGAACTTGAAATGTTTCTCGTGTCGTCCTGGCGGAATGCCTTTCATTAAGTACACGGATAACGATCATAGAAAAGATCATGGGAAAAAATGAAAACAAGAAGCAATTTATATCTCAGTTGAATTCGCACTAACGGGTCACTGAAGCGTTGGAACCGTATGTTTGTTGCCAAGGATACCATAAACATGGCTTTTATAACGCCTAACCATCTGCACGGCACATGCTCCACAGTACGACTTTCAGGAAGGTAATCTCCATGGTGACCGTGTTAAAATTTTAGATGATACATTATCCACATATGCACACCAGGTACCAAATAGGTCCTTAACCCAACCGAACACCCCAACACTATGTGATGTGTTAGGATACACATATTTGTATTGTCTTAGGCGATCAATGCCTTGTACTAAAGAGGAAGGTTTCCCGTCGGGCGATGCTGGGAAGACGATCGAACGCAGAGATGATGTCACAATAAAACCACTTTGTGCAGACAGCTCCAGGTGAACACCACGTGATCCGGAGTAATCAATATAGTCTTTGATTGACAGCGTTGTTGCTTATTCGTCTCAAATATCCTGTCTCTTAAGTCAAGTCTGTCAGAGCATTAGACGGATTAATACTCGTTCAGTGTTAATTGTCTGAGATCTACCATTTCTCATGGTAAGGAAAAAGTCACTTGTGGGACACCTGTTTTCAGGAAGTCCCACAATGGATACCTTGGTGTTGGTTCTTGTGGTGCTGATTGGAAGTCAAATGGTTTCTGGACAAGATATCCCAAAAGCCATCGAATGCTTTTCTTCTTTGAACAAGGTTCTGAGTCTTTATATAGACAAGATAGATCCCGTTGCTTGCAGATTCCCATCCAAGATTCGGAACAGCTTCGTTCCTCCGTCTGTTGAAGACATCTTTAGTGGGAAAACTCTGACCGATGTCTCTCTTAAGTTCACAAAAGGATGTGACTCAAAGGAAGATGGGGTTGTCTCTCAGCAGGAGGTCAGTGAGCTAATGGGAGTTAAAACTGATTTGAACAGTTGGAACGTGATGGCCTTGCTAGAGACAGGCGTGGACTGTGCTAAGGGTGCCGGTGTGGCGGAGGAGGACACGGAGATGAAGACGTTGAGGATGGCGTATGCCAAGTTCATGGAGTTGCTGAATGGCACGATTGCAGATGTCACCAATGAACGTGAGTCTGATTATTCGTGAAGGATTTTTTATGTGGACACTTGTCCATTACTCATAATTACTGGGGTGGTGGGGTAAGTGGTTAAAGCGTTCGCTCGTCATGCCGAAGACCCTGGTTCGATTCCCCACATGGGTACAATGTGAAGCTTATTTCTGGTGTCCCCCGCCGTGATATTGCTGGAATATTGCTAAAAGCGGCGTAAAACCATACTCACTCACTTACTCACTTGATTACCGATCCGGGGTTCATTTTAATACTCCCAGGCAATTTGAACCTCTTTATAGAAGACACATGCATCAAATAAGACAATGTTATATGTGACAATGGCAATGACAATGACAAGACTTAATTAGCCATTGGGGAATTCTTTTTTACATTTAAAAGTGATCATATAATTAAATATTAAAAATGACATAAAGGTTAAGAAAACACAAAACAACAAAATAAACAAACAAAGTCAACAGCCAAAGGCGAATACTTGCTGGAATAAAATAATTTTGAACTCTTTTTGTTTTAAAACGGGGCATTTAGTATCGGAGGCCTAAAGGTAATAGATCATATTCAGAAAATAAAACGTGGCTGGAATTAGACAGAATGCTCTCAGCGAGGTTAAGAACACCCCAGAGATTTTACTTGCAATTTTTAATGATTTTGATAATATTTGCTTTTGATATTTAGAGGGCCAAACCAGCATTGAATTGAAAAAGTTAAACACTTTCAACAACACAACGATAAAACAACAGCACATTTTGCTTACGTCAAAAGATCTCAGTTTGCGCATAAAATACCATCTTTGCTGGTACATGTATTTCTAAAATACAGAACCAGTGTTTGGACCCTCACTGTAGGTTATTGTCATGTCGATTATAGTGCCAAGATAGTTTTACTGTGTTACAATTTCGACAGTTTCACTCTAGACTTCAACAGGCGTAGTGCCACGTTACTTGATTCTAAAATTCACGATGAGTTCTTTTGTTTTGCAACATTAAACTGCAGATAGTTGTCGTCACTCCACGAACTTACTGAATTGAATGAAATTAACTGAAATAGTTTCATCTACAAAAACACATATGGTTGTGGGTATGTGGTGCCGTATACCCTTTTCTTCTGAGAAACGTAAGACTGACTGACTGACTTTGGTTTTACGCCGCTTTTAGCAATATTCCAGCAACATCACGGCGGGGGACACCAGAAATGGGCTTCACACATTGTACCCATGTGGGGAATCGAACCCGGGTCTTCGGCATGAGGAGCCAACGCTTTAACCATTAGGCTAACCCACGGCCCCAGAAACGTAAGATGTTATAATAGAGTACACACTAAAATACGACTGATCTTGACATAGTGAAACCAACTCACATGTTATTTTTTCATTGATGATCTATTGTCTTACCATTTGGTTGCGAAAATTTAAATATTAGACACTGCGGTCACCTAACTGACTGACTGACTGACTGACTATAGATCGAAAGACATACGAATGAAGACATGTATTTTGAAATTTATTTGATTGCTACTATTTGGACACATATATTTTAGTCCAATGGAAACCATGTATTAACACTTTTCTTTCACTAATATGGTAATGGGAAATAATCTATAATCCATAAAAAAAATGTCAACATTTCAGACATTACATCAATAACTGACGAACATTTCAGCTTGTCGTTTATTTCACCTTGAGACCGTAACCGCTCGATAATGTAGATCATCCCACGCGAAGCGCTATGTTTTGTACGTGTCAACAGTGTTTGTTGTATGTGGATATAAGGTTTTCAGCATTCGTTGCCATGGAGTATTAATTCTTTCCTTTCCTTTCTTTCATTTACAAAATCATGATTGGTGCATCGTGTGTCCGGCACTGTTGATTATTAAAAAAACTATCAAACATTGTTATTATATATGTAGGATTACATGATAAAATGCATCACAAACAAGGTACTTTACAATAACTGATAGACACGTCACTGAACACACGCTTGTACGTCGTGTTTGAAGTTTAAGCTTAATACATTTACTTGCATGCATGTTTGCTGATGAACTGCATTTAGATATTTTTTTTAGCATGTAAATACTTGCTATAGATGCCCTTCAAACATCCTCGTACAAACATTCAAAATATTGATGGTCAAAGAAATGTGTCCGGTTGGGACCACACTAAGTAGTGTCACAAATAGAGTGAGTGAGTTAGTGTAGTTTTACGCTGCAATATTCCAGCAATGTCACGGTGGGGGACACCAGAAATGGGTTTCACACATTGTGCCCTGATGGGGGATCAAACCCAGGACTTCTGGTGTCCCGCTTTAACCACTAGGCTACTCCACCGCCCTGTTAATAGACATTAAAACACCTGTTACAGATAACAATTAACACGTTATTACCTTTATACACTTATATTGTCCTTGGTTTAGGAAATTTGGTTGTCTCCTAAAAAATAACAAAATGTTCGAATTTCCGGTGCGGCAAAGTTATCATGAAATTGCAATGTCCCAGGAGAGCAGATTCTGGCAGACCCGCACAAGTCGGTAGCGATTAAATGAATCATTTAGTATCTTTAACTACGGGATGAAAACCTGACACGTGAAGTGGAATGAGTGAACACGGTTTTACGACTGCAATATCTGGGCTGAAAATACAGTTGAACCTAAACAGATCACCTCTAATGTGTACTTGCGGTCGGCGAGACCACTATTCATCATTTAGCATGGGGATAGAAAAGTATCTCAAAATGGGCCTCGGCTATATTTATCCCAACAATTTTGACAAGAACCTGTGTTGCAACTATACTGATTTACCATCAATTTACGACTTCAAGTGTACTGATTTACGACATCAAGTGTACTTGAAGCCGCGGTGGCTGAGCGGTCTAGGCGTCTGACTTTGTGTGCTGGCGATTAGGTGCCTGACTCTGAGGGTGTGGGTTCGAATCCCGGATGGGACTCAACCCCAAATATGTACTAGAATCTGTACTCTACTGAGAAAGTGTAATCCCAAACATAACATATGTTACATTTGGCCACTTTCTAAAATGGCATTGTTTATTTCATCAAGTGAACTGATTTACGACATCAACTGTACTGATTTACCACATCAACTATACTGATTTACGACATCAACTGTACTTTCCTTACTTATAATAATCTGATCCCGTATCTCAAAGTGTCCTTTGATCTATCTATACAATCAATACAGTTATCTCAAGATATTCTCGAACCCCTTTCAGAAAAAGTCATAGATTATCTCAAGGTGTTCCTTGACATCTACTCTTTACTACTCCAGTTACCTCAAGGTGTCCTTCAATCTCTACTTTACTCCTCTGGTATAACACGGGTGTACCTTAATACCTTCATCTCAACATTACAGTGATGTTCGTAATCTCTACACGTCCGTTATAAAGTGTCTTTAATCACTCCTCAACACTCATTTATCACAAGATATCGTGTTTATCCATTTCTATTTGCTTTACACATTTAATGATCAATATATCTCAGTTGAGTGTATGACTTTACATGGTATAATGCCGGAACTACTTTACGCCGGTACATCTTTCAATCTGCCCTCAATGACACTGTCGACAATGTCAAAATTGTATTTCAGTATTAAGTCCGTAGGCCCACGTTCAACTAATACAATGAAACTATTTTGAAAACGTGCTACATCATATATTTACAGTTGTAAAGGTCGGTGATCAGTGGCATCTTTAATGTAAGTTGCTAACTGTTTAAGGTGACTTACATCGGAGGACTGCAGCGTTGATATCAGACAATTCCTTGGTATGGACAGTGAACAATGAGAAATATTTTGAGCGAATACAAAATGAATATCATTTTCAATTTCACGTAAATTACATAACTGACTGATCCGTAGTGTCCTATCGACACGTAAATTACATAACTGACAGATCCGTAGTGTCCTATCGACACGTAAACTACATAACTGACAGATCCGTAGTGTCCTATCGATACCCAATCTCCTCTCAATATTATGCATAATTTTCTAGTTCACCAATCGTCAATAAGGTCAGCATAAGCCTGTCTAACTTTGACAGCAAACAAGAGGGTTCTAATGTCAACTGACATTGAACAGTTCTAGGTTTAATCTGAACAACCAACATTCTGAACACTGACACAGTCAACACGTATATGTCGACAGGAAAACTAACTCAAAATGAAGATGAAGTAATCTTTGCATCCAGATTCTTTAGTCGGTTATACAAATATAACGAAAACAGTTACTACCAGGAATATGTTAAGCAATGATTCCATTTCTATTACGACAAGTCAAGTCCAGCAATCAAGTGTACCCTACTCGCAGCCGTAAATATATGGAAGTCAATCAACCAGACTGACTAACCGTATAGATGTAAACATGTGTATAATAATAGACAACAATGGAAAGACAACGAGACAATGGCCAGACATAAGAGACAATAGCTTTGCGTTGGACTTGGGATTCCTTCGTGTGATGACCGCCACGGTCGAGTCGTTAATCAATTATAGCTATAAATATCATAATATAAATTGTGTTAGACGATGGTACAGCTACCAGCTGTAATGACATGTATCACAACATGTGGTATAACCGAGAATTCATTAATGATACGCAATTCAAGATGTACAAAAGTAACTGAGTCTAAAAGCAATAATTGTACTTTCCCAAACGGAACCCTATTAAGTGACTTTGTGGAAGTAATATGGTTTTCAGAGAAAGATCAAGATCAAACCGAAAGTACTAATATTTGCTTTCCGCTTGTGATAAAACATTTGTCTTCACTCGTGATATTAGACATTTGACATTTTCACTCGTAGCTCCACTACCTAAATAGTTTCTCTTAAAAGTCACTTGATGAACGTGTCTCTTTGTAAACATTAAGTGACGCAATCTATAATTGATCAAGTGGTTCTGTATTTATGACCCGTTACATGGAGTGAGTGAGTGAGTGAGTTTAGTTTTACGCTGCACTCAGCAATATCCCAGCTATATGGCGGCGATCTGTAAATAATTGAGTCTGGACCAGACAATCCAGAGATCAACAGCATGAGCATCGATCTGCGCAATTGGGAACCGATGACATGTGTCAACCAAGTCAGCGAAACTGACCACCCGATCCCGTTAGTCGCCTCTTACGACAAGCATAGTCGCCTTTTATGGCAAGTACATGGGTTGCTGAAGACCTATTCTACCCCGGATCTTCACGGGTCCGTTACATGGAGATTCATCAGGACGATCAGGGATATTCTGTGTTTTCAATGTAACGCTATGTTTAATATTTGACACCTCACATTGCGTGTTCGTTTCCCAATTCAACTACACAGGGATAAATCTACAAATAACTCAGCTCTACAGACACGCGAACTAGTGTTAGTAATGACAGTGATTGATGTGGAATGGTCGATATTTGGGTTGGTGTAAAAATGCCTACCGAAAAAACAACTCCCACGGCGATATGGCCGTCAAATCCACTGTATCAGGGGTCGTTATGGTGATTTGAAACCTCTGATTGACCAAGCATAAAATCTTTTAGTTTCCAAAATCATATAAAACCACCAAAATCTTATGTCTTGCAAACAGATACTTATTATCTGCTCAATCGTTATAACTGTAACATATCACCAAACATAAAGCAGAAAAGACTAAAAACTGTAAAATTATTGAATCTTGAGCAAAAAAAAAGATATTCCTCTGATGACGTGTCATAGCTGAACTGTTATGATTCATTTTAACTTAAAGACCTTGCATACATTGTTCTGAGGAGCATTTTCCATGCTAGAGAGACTGAAGTAATACGTTGTTCCAATATTCCAACATTATCACAGCAGAGTTCACCATCAATCGGCGTCACACCAATGAATATCAGCTTGAAGAGCTATATTTTTACAAAGAGATTTCAACGACGAGATTACTAACCCGTGAAGATCCGGGTTAGAATTGATCTTCAGTAACCCATGCTTATCGTAAGAGACGACTAACGGGATCAGGAGGTCAGGCTCGCTGACTTGGTTGACATATGCCATCGGTTCCCAATTGCGTAGATCGATGCTCATGCTGTTGATCACTGGATTGTCTATCCAGACTCGATTATTTACTAGGGCTGCGCAATATAACCGGTTTACCGGTATTTACCGGTTCAGACATGAAAACGATACGTATTGCGATACGCTGATCGAAAACCGGTATTTTGACATGCATTCGGAAAACTTCGTAACACTCGGAAATCTTCGAATATATCCGTTTTTTGAATTGTTCTTTTCCCTGTTTCATTAGTGCCAAATGTTAATTACATTTTTATTTTGTCATGATTAAAAGTTTTTATAAACGGTTAATCAATCATAGTGATTTTGTTGTGTTCTTGCTTTATAATCAAGCATTAACTCGATTATAGGTAGTTTTTGTTAAAAAAATAATCCTTGCAGTATATTGCAATATATATCGCAATACATGTATATGCTTCCGCATTGCAATATGAAAATTCTCTGCAATACCCACCCCTATTATTTACAGACTGCCGCCATATAGCTGGAATATTGGTGAGTGCGGCGTTAAGCCCCAAAGCAAACCAGCCAACGAGATTACTGTTCCGACCCTTAGCATACTAAAACATGGAATTTTAAACAAACATTATTTGCTTAAACTCGAACTCCACCACCTCGAACTATCGAGTTAAGCGATGTAACGTTGTGATCTGGGTAGAATCGTTATCGACACTGTGGTGTAATTTCTGGACCCTACATTATTTTTGACGATCCCAAGGGCTTCGAGGTCACTTTCATTACGATAAAAGGTCAAACTTAAATTTTCCAGGTTCTGGTGGGGCGACCTGCAGTGACAGCAGTGAGTGTGGGAAAGGCAAGTGCAACCTACTCCTGTGTGTGTGCGACGATGACGACTACACCGGCAAACGTTGCAACATCGAGAAGCTCCACGACAGTAAGTATACTTTGTTTTATAACTGATCAGATCACAACAAGTGTCCAGCGAGATATCTCAGATAGACCTGTCGTGATATTACTGCGATGAGTAGATGTATATATCTTTGATATGCTCTAGCAGTAGTGGGGCGGTGGGGTAGCCTAGTGGTTAAAGCGTTGGCTCGTCACGCCGAAGACCCGGGTTCGAATCCCCACATGGGTACAATGTGTGAAGCCCATTTCTGGTGTCCCCCGCCGTGATGTTGCTGGAATATTGCTAAAAGCGGCGTAAAACCAAACTCAGTCAGTCAATCAGTCTATCAGTAGTAAGTTACTCACTCACTCTGACCGTACCGGTGTAACTAGTCTTGCTTCAAGCTGTACTGAGTGCTAAGCCCATGCATGTATAGTAATTCTATCCTTTAAAGAAGCAAGTATAGATAGGCGGACAGTACATCTAAGGACCCCGTTCTGTTATACATGTATATATTTTTTAGAAATTATCATTTAAACGATTAATTATTACCTTAGAGACATGAACAAGTTTACAGTGTAACAGGTGATGCCTGATATTTATACTGTACAGAACGGAAGTGCTTAGTGCTATGTTCATAACGTGCTCTTAGTTGCACACATCGCTTGTAAATAGTCCTAAATTTTCCCTTTATTCTTGTTTTAAAATCTCATTTAATGTTGAATTTTACAAAAAAGATTTATCAATTTCAAAATTCCGATCGGCCCTTGCTAAATTCAGATGTTCTTCACACCGCCTCCAAATTGAAACCGGTCGATATATTTATCAACCCAGATCAAATAGATTATGTTTTGTATGTAAAGATAACTTTATTGAACACGAATTCCATTTTATTTTGGTATGTAAATGTTATCAAAATCTGAGATGTTTGTATTTACCACATAACTTTTATTCGAATCCCACTATTCATAAGTTTAATATGCTCATGTCAACTGGCAATCCATATATTGTAAAAAACCTAGCTATTTATATACACAATGCAATGAAACTTAGAGATTCACTTCTATGCCAATAATATCACATTTCCTTTTGTATACTTTGTAAAATAACTTATTGTCTTCTGAACTATATATGCACATATGTACCGCTCTGAAATCCTGAAGTGTAGCCTGGGCCTATGGCCTCCACTACAAAGAAAATAAAGATTGATTGATTGATGTTCATCAAGTGCTTAAGCAGTACAATACTGAAACGTTATTGGGTCACGGTTCTTACATACAACAATGTTACGATTGTACCATGTTGCTGCTGTGCTACGTTTGTAAATGCTACGGCCATTTGTTGCTACGGCACTGAAGTTATACGATGTTTGTTATGGTCATGCGATACTTTCGGGATTAATTATTGTCTTTACTTTCACATCGTTGGTTTTATCGTATTTTCCGTCGCAGCCAGCTAATACATAATTTATCACCCTTTCAAATCCAGCAAAGTTGTCCAGCCACCGCTGACGGATGCCGAAGCCGCTGCTGTTGATGTATGCGTTGCAGGTCTGAGAACCACGATCCGAAATCAGCTGGCGATCCTAAACCCAATCATCTGCAGATTCAAGCTTAAACTGAAAGATGAGAAGGATCACAATGCAATTAGACTTCTTGACAGCAAAGAGGCGTCTACTAAAGACTTTCGTGATGCCACGAATGCAGATTGTGGGGGGTTGACAACGGCTGACACCCTTGATGAAGCCAAAACAAAGATAGCCTCCGTGACCAATGCCTTCAAGAACGACTTCTTCATTGCACTAGAGACTGCCAAGGTATGTGTGGAGGCCAGCGGTGCTTTTACATATCCAGCTGAAGTTGCGAAAGAAATGAAGAAGTTCTTGTCTCGTCTCGTCTTCAGAATACACGACCTTGCTGATGAACTGTTGGAGAAAGGTAAGTGGTTTAAGTTCCAAGTAATTTACTTTCGATTCTCGACTTGAATACAGTATTATGATATTGTTGACCGGTAGTAGCTTTATTCCTGCAAGAAATATACATAACTGCAAATTGTGAAAAGGCCACTTATTACACTTGGTTCATAAATGAATATGAATGCTTAATACAATCCGGGGAAGGCTTAGGGTTCGTAACCTTGGCCCTCAAAATTCGTAGTTTCGTAAATATGAGTATGAAGCATAAATAAATACGACTCAAAATGCAAAGTGTTTACAAAATACTGGGATATTTCCACATAATGAGTTAATTGTGGCTTTATAGAGTTATTGTATAGAAATGATTGTGACATAATCGTTATGAATATGTAAGCTTAAAACCAAGAAACAAGCGGAAAGAGTGACACTAGACACTAATCGTGGTCATTTCGCCAGACCAGGGAGGCTACTGCAGAAACGACACAGACTGCTTTGCTGGGCAGTGCGACGCCACCAACATGTGCATGTGCTACAGCGGCACCTGGGGGAGGCGATGTCGCAATGGAACAGACGACGTTTACGGTAATAATTCTAAATTATATACGGTAATTCAAAATAAAATAAATTGAAGCACAACGTACAATAACTAATGGATAAACATGAATCTGGCATACTGTTCCTGTTTTAAATCACCTTTGTTGTTGAAAGTGCTTCGGTGTAGTCTTAAGTTGTTTTGTTTTGCTTTTGTTTCGATTTTTGTAATTGTATAATAATACAACATAAAATACCAGTAACCGTTAGCAATTGTACAATAAACCTTTGTTGATACGTTTTGAACTGTGTGGGAATATATGAGTGAGTGAGTGAGTGAGAGAGTTTAGTTTTACGCCGCATTTAGCAATATTCCAGTAATATCACGACGGGGTCACCAGAAATGAGCTTCACACATTGTACCAATATGGGGAAATCGAACCCGGGTCTTCGGTGTGATGATGGAACGCCTTAACCACTAGGCTATACCACCGTCTCTGTTGGGACATATGATGCAGGCTTGGTGATATAGTTGACGTTTTATTCATGGGTTTCCCTTCATTGGCAGCAATGTGCGACAGGTGCTACAACGGTGCTTCCTGTGTCTTCAAGGACGGAACTTTCAGCAGCTGTATGTGTTCTTACCCCTGGACTGGCGCCATGTGCAATGATTACATGCGGGGTAAGTATGCAGGTACCATTCCTCGAGATGCAGAGTCAGTTAGCAATCTGTCATATGGTTAGGAAGCCAAAGCCTTTTCTTTTACGATACTACTTGTTTATATACTGAATGAGTATGTAACGTTCTCTGTCCACATTACGCCAGGGACATCAATGGGTTCGTCAAATTAACCATGTTGGGATTAAGGTGAGGTAAAATGGGGTTTTACGTCGCACTTAAGAATATTTCGCTCATATGACGATGTGCATGCGCGTGTATGTGTACTAGTCCAGACTTAAGCTGGTTTTATAGTGCTAGCTCACTGAGATACCATGCCACATTTATGCATGAATACCCCACATTATACTGACTCCGAGCCGACCAGTCCTTGTTGTACCCATTAATGTCGAGCGCCAGGAAGGGACCAACAAGCACCATATCTTAACGCCTTTTGGTATGACGCGGCCGGGGATCGAACCCGCGACCTTCTGCTCACCGGGCGGACGCTCTAACCACTACACCACGGAGGCGGTCTGCTGGGATTAAAATATAATGTATACCGTCAGTGTAAAAGAAACCCAGTGTTGACTTTGTTCCTCAAAAAATATTTCTTTGGTGTAAATTGAAAAATAACTTTAGAGGACACGGACCATTGGGATGACAAGCCAACATGTCAACCACTATGAGCTCGTTTTCCCTATATAATGCATATACTTTTGAGAAACGTATACGTTTAATTTCCCCAAAAACTACTCAACCTAAACGTAAAAGTTAGTTTATTCACGTCTAGTACATGGTAGTCCAAGAAACCGATATAGATCAAATAAGATATTTAGATTTGTTGAAGGGAATAGTTTTAAAACGCTATCACTTAGACTGATACAAATCTGTAGCACATCACAGTTTTTAAATTTGAAATGTAATCTTGTGGACATGTTTGTTATGATGTTATCTTTCACTTCAGGTCCAAGTAATTGCAGCAAGTGTCTCAATGGAGGTTCGTGCCTGTTTGATTCCGGAAGCTGTTACTGCACACCGGGGTTCATGGGACGCTTCTGTGAATTTGATATAGGTAAGATTATATCTGTAACCGATGTTGAGCTCCCTCAATTGGTTTCATGCGGTTCCACCGGTAATTGGTCTCAACCATTGTCCGAACTGTTAATGTGGCAGTTTAGTATTGAGTCAGCAGATGCACAAACCGAATATGGTTGTCTTGGAAGACCGTTTGGTGTGTTGCTATGATGTAGATAACGTCTCCAAAGACGCGATATTGTGTTATACGGAGACATTCAAATATCTGGGTACTTCACTTTGCACTATTCTTGTTTTCGTAATATCCACGAAGACATTGATTTGTACCAGGCCAGGGCAATATTTACAAATATGTTAAGTAGTTTTATCGGCAACTTACAGCTATACAATTTCCTTGTGCGGCTGCTGCTGGTGGAGGTGGAGGGGGGTAATGTGAGTGATTATCCCCTCTCTCAAACATACAGATTTGGGTGGCTACATACATTTTGAGGGGCGGTGGGGTAGCCTAGTGGTTAAAGCGTTGGCTCGTCACGCCGAAGACCCGGGTTCGAATCCCCACATGGGCACATTGTGTGAAGCCCATTTCTGGTGTCCCCCGCCGTGATATTGCTGGAATATTGCTAAAAGCGGCGTAAAACCATACTCACTCACTCACATACATTTTGTTTGAAAGCAATAGTCCAAGCCCTATATATCCCACCCTCACCTTCCCTCTCCAACAAGAGAACTTCTAATACAGATTTATTTCCTTTACCCCCAGCTGGTCTGCTGACCAACCTGACATCAGCTGATATCGACACTGCGGACAAATGTCTACAACCATTCACAGGACAAGTTCAGACACTCGTGGACACCATCAACGACATCCTCTGCCAGACTTCATTCAACGGGAACATGATGAAAGCGTTCAGGATCCCGAGTGTCCAAGACATCGTGTCAGCGTTGGGGGCGGGCATGAAGCCGCAAGGGCTACTCATGCAGGACTGTGTCGTCAAGAACAACGCCACACTCACCCCTGAAGATATGAAGACCAAGCTGATCGGCGCATTCCAGGCCTTGAATGCTAGTCTACAATCTGACACGTTCTCCAGTGCTATGAAATGTATAAACGAATCCTTTAGTGATCTAAAGGTTGTGAAGATCCTGAGGCACTTGTATTCCGATATTATCAACGTGACTGCAGAGGCAGGACGGAACTTCCATCGTAAGTATGGCTTCTAATGTATTGTCAAGGGCAACGGTATGGGTTGCTCCTGTGTCTAATTAAAAAGTTACATTTCTAGGCTTATCATCATCATGCCTCTGCTCTTGGGTTTCAGGGGCGGTGGGGTAGCCTAGTGTTTAAAGCGTTCGCTCGTCACGCTGAAGACAAGGTTCGATTCCCCACATGGGTACACTAAATGCTCAGGTTCTACATCAGTTTGGGCTCTCCCGTACAGTAACTGACACAATATCTCACGCACACAATCCTTTAAGTCGAATACTATTCAAAGCGAGGGTAGGACAAAATCCCATAGAACAAAATGTCTGCACACTGCGGACAAAATCCCAACAATGTGCAAAATGACATTCAATTTATTTTTTTTGATATGTATCATGATAAAGCACTAATAATAATATGATTTAACACAATCTCATAAACATAATGCATCATCCTGGTATATTTTCATGGTGCATGTAATCATCTATAGCATCATTCTAGAACATCAGCATCTTTTGTACATTTTAATTGAAGTACATAAACACTAATAACCTGATTCCACGCAATCTCATCATCATAACATAAGCAATGCATTATAACCTTATTCAACGTATACTTCTGGTAATGCATCCATATTTTCATGGTACATAAGTATCATTTGGAACATCAGCATCTTTGTACATTTTACTTGAAGTGTAATCCTGAAATATGTAACATAATATGTTACCCTGGTATAATAAGCACATAAGCACTAATAACCTGATTTAATGCAATCTTTTAACATAAATCAACACAATCTGATGTTGGGGCCAATGCCAGAAGAAGGGTAGCAATAACATATAAATATGGGATTTTGTCCTATATTGGTCATTTTGGTGTGGGATTTGTCCTATGGGATTTCGTCCGGCTGGGATTTTGTCCGTCCCCCTTCAAAGTACTCTCCCCGGACAGACACTGAATCACGTGCTAAACACCATGATCTGTCCGGGGCTGATTAAATCATTATTTATTCACAAAGATATCGTTTCACCTTAACTATTCATTTAAACTGTTTTTGTCGCTTTAATTTTAACATGTACCCTGAAATCAGAGGTTTCTGATTCCGACCACGGAGGTTTCATTATGTTTGTTGTATTTGTTGATCAATGTTGACGTAACAGGCTCTAGTGGGTCAAGGTAGGTTTTGGGCGGGTTACTAGTATCGGGACGTTTTAGGATTATTTCCTGTTGGTAATTTGTATCACAAGACTGACTGACTGAGTTTGGTTTTACGCCGCTTTTAGCAATATTCCAGCAACATCACGGCGGGAGACACCAGAAATGGCTTCACACATTGTACCCATGTGGGGATTCGAACCCGGGTCTTCGGCGTGACGAGCCAACGCTTTAACCACTAGGACTACCCCACCGCCCCTTGTATCACAAGACAATGTGGTGTTCTCTATAACGGTTTCCGAGTTCAGTCAATATTCACGGCTAAGAATAAATGAGAAATACCATAAAGAACATATTGTTGGATGGGTAAAGTTTATTTTCGAAGTTTACCACAATGTGATAGAAATAATGCTAAAATGGTGATTTAATTTCAAATGAACGAACCAACATTTGTCTGAAGACTATTCACAAACACACCCGCCATATGTCAATGTAGCATTGTACTGAGTAAACACACCGCTCCGTATAAACATTCTACATGTTAGTCACAGATGAAACGTATGTACAATCAATCGATCACAACTTAATTCAAGCGCTAAGTCATCTGGAACACGTAGTGTTGGTTGTGTGGAACACTGTCTGTTGGTTACGTGGAAAACTTGGTGTTGGTTATGTGGAACACTTAGTGTTAGTTATGTGGAACACTTAGTGTGCTTATGTGGAACACTTACTGTTGATTATGCGGGACATTGAGTGTTGGTTATGTGGGACACTTAGTGTTGGTTATGTGGAACACTTAGTGTTAGTTATGTGGGAGAATTAGTGTTGGTTATGTGGAACACTTAGTGTAAGTTATGTGGAACACTTAGTGTTGGTTATGTGGAACACTTAGTGTAAGTTATGTGGGAGAATTAGTGTTAGTTATGTGGAACACTTAGTGTTAGTTATGTGGAACACTTAGTGTTGGTTATGTGGAACACTTAGTGTTAGTTATGTGGAACACTTAGTGATGGTTATGTGGAACACTTAGTGTTAGTTATGTGGAACACTTAGTGTGGTTATGTGGAACACTTAGTGTGGTTATGTGGGAGAATTAGTGTTAGTTATGTGGAACACTTAGAGTTAGTTATGTGGAACACTTAGTGTGGTTATGTGGAACACTTAGTGTGGTTATGTGGAACACTTAGTGTTGGTTATGTGGAACACTTAGTGTTGGTTATGTGGAACACTTAGTGTTAGTTATGTGGAACACTTAGTGTTAGTTATGTGGAACACTTAGTGTTAGTTATGTGGAACACTTAGTGTTGGTTATGTGGAACACTTAGTGTTAGTTATGTGGAACACTTAGTGTTAGTTATGTGGAACACTTAGTGTTAGTTATGTGGAACTCTTAGTGTGGTTATGTGGAACACTTAGTGTGGCTATGTGGAACACTTAGTGTGGTTATGTGGAACACTTAGTGTTAGTTATGTGGAACACTTAGTGTGGTTATGTGGAACACTTAGTGTGGCTATGTGGAACACTTAGTGTGGTTATGTGGAACACTTAGTGTGGTTATGTGGAACACTTAATGTGGTTATGTGGAACACTTAGTGTTGGTTATGTGGAACACTTAGTGTTAGTTATGTGGAACACTTAGTGTTAGTTATGTGGAACGCTTAGTGTGGTTATGTGGAACACTTACCTCTATCTGACCAGCACACAAGAGAGATACTGGTCTGGGACTGTGCCCGATGCTGATTATCACTTGTGCAGGTTTAAGGTAGTGGAACATGGTCGGTTAGTCTGAATTATTTACAATTTCCAATCGCATATAACGTGAAAAATATGTGTACAACTTTCTTCATTTTCCCAGTCTTACTATATGGTAAAGATGCCAAACTCGCCTTATGAGTGGTGCCTCCAACCACCCCATAGTCAACTTTCCCTTTATGTCCAGCAATTTTGCACCATCATCAGTTGGACGTCTGATGCCTGCCTGATTTTTGACTGTGCAACCAAGCATGCTCCTCTAACGAATATTTCAAAGAGCGCACACTTCGTTAAATGTTCTTTCTTCAGGGTTATAGCCTTTGCATCTTTCAAAACGTTCTAATTGCAGTTTTTTTAATTTTTTGTGCTTCTCATCGCCCGACCGACCATTCTTATTTTATTACCATCAACAACATCAAATCTATTTCATTCCAACACCGCCGACTCGAACCTAAAACGTACCGCCTCGTCAGAAAAAATGATTATCGTTTAATCAGACACTGCCACATGTCTAAAGAGTCTTTATTAACTTTTTTACCCCGACCTACCGACCCACGTTCAGAATTTTGTGGCTACGTGAAACACATAAAAATGATGCCCTGACTAATGATATCTGGAGCAGTTCTCAGTTTATGATTGAATTAAGATGCATTTACAACGGTCACGTTAACCCTACACTTGATACAATCCACGGCCATTACGAGTGGGTTTATGTAAAAGCAAAATACGCTGAATGTTAACACTCGGCGTGTGAGCTTTTTTCATTGGCCTCTCGCGAATAATAGTAGGTAAGATAAGATAAGATAAGATAAGACGATAATTTATTTATCACCCAAAACTGTGTTCCACAGGAGATATTGCTTGTGTGAGATCATACGATATCTCCTAGGAGATATCATTTTGACAGTAGATTTTGTACAATGCCCTGACAATGCTATGACGTCATGAACTTGATGACGTCACAATGCTATGACATCGCTGCACTGCAAGTCTTATGGTAGTACAGTCTTCAGAGATGTACAACTAAAGGAAGAAGGATTTTTGATGATAAATAGAATCTCACCCTCGTGTCTTCTGATATCAAATATATCAACACTCGTTGATAAAAGTAAAAATATCCTCGGCAGTCCTCTGATATTTTTAACTTTATCAACTCGTGGAGATATATTTGTTATCAGACGACACTCGGGAGAGATTCTCTATTTACGTGTCACGCGGTATGCATACTGACATAATCACAATGACAAGACAATTTAAAATACTAGTATACACCACCCGGCGAGTTGGCCTATGAGACACGATGTATCTTGGAAACCGTAGTATTAGAATATTGGTAGAAAGACACCAATCAGTTGACCTAAATGCAACTTATATAATAGGCCAGACGCAACTCTTGCTGAGACGTTATTTGATCAAGGTTACTCCATTCAAAAACTTATTCATCTTTCATAAACTTTGGGGGCCACTTCCAAATTAGCCCCATAATAACAAAATGATGCCCGATGCGATTCCTTAGTTTGCATTGTGCCAAATGTTCTCCCGTTTGTTCAGGTAGATACTTTACCTGCCTTTGCGTGTGTTTGTGATCGTGTTACCGGATGCAAAAAGCCCTGGTATTATCACAGTGTGGTAGTTTCCCAATTACACATGCTGGTGAAGTAGTCGGAGCGTTACAATTTATTATTCTGCTGTGGGCGTGGATCTGGGTTGTGTTGATCTCCTTTGTGTACACACTCAGTGCAGTATATAATGCTGTCAATCATGGCGTGCACTGACGGAATGTTGAAAAACGACTCCAGCGTACATATGTCGTACAGTAGTACATATACAAAGCACATAGTTACCAAACAAACCTAACCTTACGACACTGGTAGCGTTAGGAACCGTCAACACTAACCACATGTCGCCAGTCGTTTAGCTTGCTTGTTAATGTTATGAATTCAATGCTCAACTTTAGGTTCTACTGATAGCCGTTCTGGTGTTGGTATTGATCTGTTATGGCCGTATCCCCCACGATCTCCCAAACACTGCTGTGGTCGCTGTAACCTGCCTGTCGAGGTTCATGTGTTGACTCAGCGCTTTGAGTACTGATGGGG